GTACATGTCAAATCTGTCAGAGTTGACTTACATGGAAGTGAGTTGCCTAAACACCAGAAGAGATGGGTATAGGACCTTGGATTATGTCTGTGTTGATCTGTGAACCATTCAGCTTTCTTCATCCAGTATTGTTACTCTTATTGATTCATATTTTGGATTAATATCTTCAAATTCAATAGAAAGATAAAATGAGTTCTTGCTTGTTTGGCCTCGGTTCCTGTGTTACATTCTTTAAACAAGGGGTTGCGTGGGTTTAAAAAAATTTAAAAATAGATTTGATATAAATTGTGGTTTGAAATAGCTGTTTCTGTTCAGTTCACAAATGTGCGTGTACATATCCATAAGCTTACTGGCAGAAATCAAATGATCCAAAATTCGTGTAAACCCAACTGAGTTTTCCTAGAGGTTTTTTTTTTTTATTGGCTTAACAGACTCTGTTAATCTCATTAGGCTATTCAGTCACCTCAGAGTTTATTCTGTGTGTGAATCTCTAATGGTGATTATTAGAATCATAGAATGGTTTAGGTTGGAAGGGACCTTAAAGATCATCTAGTTCCAACTCCCCTTCCTAATATCTATTCTAAATCTACCCTCTTCCAGTTTGAAGCCATTACCCCTCATACTATCACTATGTGCCCTTGTAAAAAGTCCCTCTCTAGCCTTCTTGTAGGCCCCCTTCAGATACTGGAAGGCTGCTATAAGGTCTCCCCAGAGCCTTGTCTTCTCCAGGCTGAACAACCCCAACTCTCTCAGCCTGTCCTCATAGGAGAGGTACTCCAGCCCTCTGATCATCTTCGTGGCCCTCTTCTGGACCCGCTCCAACAGGTCCATGTCCTTCTTATGTTGGGTGCTCCAGAGCTGGATGCAGTGCTCCAGGTGGAGTCTCACAAGAGCAGAGTAGAGGGGCAGAATCCCCTCCCTTGACCTGCTGGCCATGCTTCTTTTGATGCAGCCCAGGATACAGTTGGCCTTCTGAGCTGCAAGTGCACATTGCCAGGTCATGTTGAGCTTCTCATCCACCAACACCTCCAAGTCCTTCTCCTCAGGGCTGCTCTCAATCCATTCTCCACCTAGCCTGTATTTATGCTTGGGATTGCTACAACCTATGTGCAGGACCTTGCACTTGACCTTGTTGAATTTCATGAGGTTTGCACGGGCCCACCTCTCCAGCCTGTCCAGGTCCCTCTGGATGGCATCCCTTCCCTCCAGCATGTCGACTGATCCACACAGCTTTGCGTTGTTGGCAAACTTGCTGAGAGTGCATTCAATCCCAACATCCATGTCACCAACAAAGACGTTAAGTGAGGTGACTGGCACACAGGGCAGGCACCAGTGCTTGCTTTCTTGTTATTTTGTTGGTGTTTGACAAACAGTTGTACAGGGTTGTGGGGTTTTTTTGATGCATCCTAATCAGTTTGAAAACAGATGAGGTGATCTAACTGTTTGGAAACCATGTAGACAAACCAGTTGTCAATGAGTTCACAATGTTATGAACTTTACAGCTCAGTAAAATCATGATTTTGTTAATTATTAATATATAGGTACTAACAGTGTGTTCAGTTAGATTAAATTAATGGTAATAGTATCCTTTTTTTCAGACCCTATTGTATATTGCAGCCTCTTTTTTTTTATAGGGGAATTATGTATATGTGAAATGCTGTTATGGACTATTTATTCAGGTTCCCGGGATGGTTCAATGGGTCTCTGGGAAGTCACAGAGGATGTGTTGTCCAAAAGCGATGCCAGGCATAATCTCTCTCAAGTTCCTGTCTATGCCCACATAACACATAGAGCTCTGAAGGATATCCCCAAGGAGAACACCAATCCTGACAACTGCAAAGTCCGAGCATTGGCTTTCAACAATAAGAACAAGGTCAGTAAGATAAGCAAGACAGTTGAGAAGTCCTAAAACTGTCCATATGTATTAGAAAAAGAAAAAAGTAATTAAATATATCAGAGAAGCAATCTGATTTTTCTTTTCCCCTGATCCTTTCGCATCTTTCTCATATGAGATGGTTGTCTTTATCTGCTATGTCTGCTTCTGCCCTAAGTGCTTGGAGAAGTCCAGTAGGAAAAAAAAATCATATGTTTTCAGAAGGAAGAGTTTTCCTATGGGTTTGATTTTAGACTTGCACCCTAAGGAGGGCAGATGGGGAATGTTTACAAGAAGCAGATAAAGCACCAAAATGCCTCTTGCAGCTTGAATCCCACTCTTGAGTGTTCTTGCTGTTTTCCTTCACCTTCTGTGAAGACCAGCTAACATTCAGTCAGTTGCTGTTTTGGTGGCTGAATTGTTACTGGTTGCTCAGCAAGTGAGGTGACTGGCACACAGGGCAGGCACCAGTTCTTGGGTTGATGTTATTTTGTTGGTGTTTGACAAACAGCAAATGTTAACCTTCCCCATGCTGATATCTTGTTATTACTAGAGATGAATTGTACTGGGGCAAGTGGGAGTAGCAATTCACCCCTCAGTACTTTTCTTTCTGCCCTCAAAGAACAGAGAAAGTCTGAAGCAAAGGTGGTTGTGCTGTTAGAAGCACAGTGCTCCTGCAGGCTTTATTTTTCACTGTAGCTGTTAATTACTCATCTGTGATGGAGACTTCATGTAGCTTTTTCAGTAGAGTAGTACCCGGAAAGAAATGTTTACTTCAGGGTCAGAATCGGTGTGGGAGCTGCTGTAGAGAATTACCAACCCCAGATTGTACTGTCTAATAATTCATTATTTGTCTAACAAGATATATACTTTTGAAAGTTATTTTTGGTTATTTACTGTTTTATTAATTCTTATTCTACCTGGCACCTTTGTGCTATATTGTGTTCTATCATGATCAATATAAAATAAAAATTAATCTTGATAAGCATGTACAGGATTATGGATGAGTTCAATCTGGAGTATGCAGCCTGCCTAGTAGAGAGTGTGAGTTTGTAAGGACATCTATAATACAGAAAATAAATATACTCTTTTTTTTTTTTTTTTTTTTTTTTTTTTTTTTTAAATAGGAATTGGGAGCTGTGTCCCTAGATGGGTATTTTCATCTTTGGAAAGCAGAGCACACACTGTCAAAGGTGCTTTTCTGTTTGTTGGTGTAAAATTTCAAAAATTGCTTAGCAGTTAAGGCTGTTTGCTCTTCTTCATCTTCTTTAAATGCTTGAAGAAAGAGAAGCAGTGTTTGTAAAACACTTAAAAATGTAAAATGAAATGTCCTAAAAACTAGAACTTGGGGAGAGAAACTTTCTACTCCCCTTATTTTGGAGGGTGGGAGGTGCTCTTAACTTTCTGCCAGTTCTGGGTGAGCTGAAGTGAACTGTTCCATAAAGTATGATGGATACTTGATTAGCAGTGTTCATAAAGGAATTTGCACTTATTTAAGTGTAATTGCAGATCAAACCCAGAAATGTCTATGCTAGTGTATGAGGTAAGCTTTTTCAGCTGAGAGCTGATGTCTGTGTATACCTGCTGAAGAAACAACAGCAGCTTAGAAAGATGTAAAACAATTTACCAAAATGTCCATTGTTCATTGCGTAATACTTGTCTTCAGCATTTGTCATCCCAGTTTGGTTCAGATAAGGCATCCAATCTCCTTCAGGCTTTCTTTTTTTCTGGGTCAGGTTGTTGTTTTTCTCTTAAAGTTCTGTTGTAGTGATGAACTTAATTTTAGCTGCATTTTGGTTTTTTTTTTTTTCTTTCACCGCAGCTTCCTTGAACATAGCTTACAGAATTGTTCTGTTAATGTTTTTCTCTTTTTTTTCATAATACATTGATTTGTCTTTCCTCTGTTTCCAGTTACTTTCCACAAAATTGCCATACTGCAGGGAGAATGTGTGTTTGGCTTATGGTCAGGAGTGGTCAGTGTATGCAGTAGGATCACAGGCACATGTCTCCTTTCTGGATCCCAGGCAGCCTTCTCACAATGTTAAATCCATCTGTTCCAAAGAACGAGGCAGTGGTAAGAAACTTGTCAAAGGGTGCTTCAAATGGCTTGCTTGAAGAAGTAGCTATTAAGACTGCAGTAAGATAAGCTTTTAATAAATAGGAAGGGTTTTTCATGTGATACACTAAATCCTTAATAGTATATATAGGTTTTGCTTTTTTGACAGTATTCCTTGAGCAACCAACAAACCAAACTTAAGACCAACTCTGAAATGTAATGATAGACAACATTAGCGCTTTTATGATCAACTAAATTGTACACCATCCAAATTACTGAACTTTTAAAAATGTGCATTTTACATCTACTTATTTTTTTACTGTGTCTTATTCGGTTTTACTTCACCTGAAAGCAAATCCAGTCTTCGTACCACTATTAATACTGTCTATTCTTGCGTTTTTCTCTGGGAACAGGAAAAAAAGCATGTTGTCTGCTCTGTGCTATCGTATCAGGAGTCTGTGCTGTGAGTGAATGCTTGCTTTGTAATTGTAAAGCCATGAGTGAGACTCTTAATTTTCAATGTGTATCTATTTGCTTTAAATATACAAAATGTCACTCTTTAAAAAAAAAAAAAATTGCAAATTTGAGTGCTGTTTTCCTTTTCTGATGTGGATGCTGTAAGTCCGATGATTGAATCTTACACCAGGGCCAAGCATGAGGGCTTGCAGGGTGCATGGTCCCATAAGCTTCTTCCCATACCCTTTATTTTCCAGCATGAGAAGACACTGTGCTGTGATGCCCATTTTAAACCATATTAATCCCAGACTAATAAGTTGCAGTCCTTATTTAGGTTGGCTCTAGGCATCCATCTCTTCATTGGGCAAGATATCAAAAAGAGAATGCATGTAGGCAAGGATTAGGAAAGTTTTATTTATGTGGTTACTGGAGTTTGAACTGTGTGCCTAGATAAATGTCAGGATCCGCTTCTTTCAGATATGGGAGAAGTTTCTATAATATGAGAAAAGGTGCTTCACCAGCTCATGTTGTCACCTGAACATTTTACCAGCAACAGCCCTTGTCCTGACCTCACTGACGTGAGGGCTCTGTGGAGGTCCTGACACTGTCACCCTTCAGTATCGTAGGGAAGAAATACCAAGACACTGGAGTGTGGTGACTGGGGGGTGAAAGCTTTGGGGGGATGATCTACGTGCAGGTAGTATCTCTGAGGCACTAGTTCATGTCTGGAGAAAGCCTTTGTTCAATGCTGTTTTCTGTTCTGCATAGTAGGCGGATATTATTTTTTTTTTTTTTTGGCATAGTGGTGGAAGCACTTAAGTAATATTAATTCCCAAGTGTCCTGGTTTGAGCGACACAGGACTAATTTCTATTCTAATGCTTGGGAAAACTGCACTTTCAGAAGACTCCAGTGTCTGAATTTGTGAAAATATTTACTTTACAGCCAGCTATGGTGTGTGGGTCTCAAGGTCTCAGTGTTTTCAAGCTAGCCAGGTGCAGGGATGAGGAGGAGCAAGACCCAGGCACTTGACCCAAGCTGGCCAACAGGGTTATTTCATACCATCAACGTCACATTCACTATAAATTAGAAAGTTTGCTGC